AGAGTTGGGTGGGAATCAGGGTTTCCCACGGACTTTCGTCCCGGCCGGCCAGCTGCCGGCGATCGGACCCCCCGATTCTACCGGCTGGAACCGGCCGGACGCCGGCTGCCTATTACGGCAGCTGGAGCACCGTTATCACTGGCTGGCACGTGACCCGGCCGGGCCCCGGGCCCGTGACCGTGATCCGATCAGGCGCGGCCGTGTGCGCGCGCCGCGCTCAAGCTACCGTCGCGCGCGGCCGCCCTTGAGCGGCGCGCGGTGCGGGCGGGCGGCCGCCGCGGTCACGTCGCTGGCTGTGGCGGCACGCGGCCGGGATCCCGAGTCCGCCACTGGCCATATGCAAATCAGTGCATGGCCGCTTGTACGTAATTCAATCTGGCTCTGCCAGACATACTGCCGACACTCCGATGACTCTGGCTAGCAGGCCAGTACGACAATGAACCGGCCTACCTTTTCATGTTGAGTTCGTCCCTTCCAATAGCAGCCCAAGGCCCAGGCTTTCTTGCATACCTAAAGTCTTATCATGAGGCAGTTTGACGGATATGTTAGATAGTGCTATGTAGCTTTTGCATGTCCTATAAGTGTATCAGCACCATATATAGATTCATTACAGTTGATGGACCAATGGGTTATTGCCAGTTAGTGCTTAAATTCATCCGTTGCACATCACTAAATCCCACGTATGCACCATGGAAGCCTATGGCTCATGTGGCGACGGCATGATAAGAGAATATCATAAGAGACAATATAGACGGTTCACCGAAATTTCAAGTCCTAAATTAGGAAGCTTGCGTTTGTGTACCGTACAGTCTCTTCTTCTTAGACCCGGACTTCCAAATCTTGATCGCCGGGCCAAAATCGTACTCCTTCCTAGGGGGCCCGACGAGTCCTATCCGCATAAGATTATCGAGCAACTCAATTTCTATCCTATTGCGCAGCTTCGACTTGATGAGATTCTGTCGAGAGAAGCCGCGCTCACAGCATGCTGTGCTAACGAACATTATCATACCTACTTGCGTTAGTCGCAATAAACACGGAACTAATTCGAAGTAGGTGGGGTTCTTTGCAATCTTCGACCACGTGTCTTCCAAAGTGCATCCCTGGAAGGTGGTCGATCCCCACTGCTTGAAAGTGCGGAACTCCTGCCTAAGCGTGCCATAATCACAATCAACGAACGGAGCGAAGACCTTCCCGTCCACAACCCTCTCAACGCAATACAAGCCCCACAACAACTTCAGCTCCGGCAAACCGTAGGTGGCAAGCTGATCTTTGTTTGACGGAAAGGCTGCCGCATCTGGGGCCAGGATACCAAACGCTGCCACCTTCGGGGCCTCCGCAAATCGCGCCTCTAAGTTTGAGATTACTTTCTCCACCCAAGCCGTGGCGAACCCGTTACTTGCCGCCTCCTCTCCTGCCGCCAGCTCGATCGTGTGACCGTGATAGGTGAGGGGCACCGGCTGTAGGCTGTCCAAAGCTGCCCTCAGTTCCAACTCTCTGAGCCTCTTCAGCTCTCCGAATTGCCCAAGGTAGCTCTGCACCTCCATAAAGTTGATGGCCCCACCCTGCCGGAGCACGTTCCGAGCTATCTCCATGTTGCGCTCCAGGTCCGGTAGCTCCGCCCCCATACGGTTTGCGACTTCCTGCCGCTGCTGCTCCCGCGCCGTCCGCTCTTCTCTCGACTCCTGCCCCTCCAGACCCTCCAAAAACTTTGCCAGGAAACCGCCAAGAGGCCCGGCAGGTCCGTTTGCACCCGCAAAGTCCTCCACCAGCTCAACTTTGGCACCCTCGACCAGGCCTTGGATGGCCGTCAGATCCACATGGTCCCCTTGAAAGGCCTTGCTGAGGCGGGCGAGGGTAGACGTGGCGTCGGCCAGCATGTGCAGGCCATGCAACACCCTGAAGCTGCACAATTGCTTGTACGCTGCAGGGTCCTCCTGTTGCATAAAGCCCACCACTGCGGGGAGCACGCGGCAGAGTTTCTTCAAGCACTCGTTGCGGGACAGCCAACGAACCGCAAAGATTCGTGTTGGCACCAGATCCGGAAGGCCGAGCTCCTCCTCCAACTCGCGCAACGCCCCCAGCTTCTTTGCGCTTCGCGAGAAGACAGCGGCGATCGCATTGACGAGCTTGTCAAGCTCCACAGCGAAGGGCAGACTGTCTGCCGCACCCCCCGCAGCGAGGTTGAGCCGGTGGGCGATGCAGTGGATGGCCAGCATGAAGGGGAAGAGCCTTTGCAGCCTCGCCGCCACCCCGTTCTGAGCACCTGCAAAAATGGCAAAGAGGGAGTGATTAGAAGACCAGACTTGTGGCGCATGAATGTTCAGCAGTACTAAGTCACAAGTCATCTTTCCTGGTTGAAAGCAGTGAGAAGAATCTCGAATCTGCAGTCAGAATCAGACGCCAAAATGCAGACCTTTCAAGACAAAGAGCATGCCCTCAACACTTCTGACGCTGTCCAACATCTAAATCCGATGCGTCTAGTACAGCAAGTGCATCAAATCTGTGCATATTGTGGCTTCAGTATAGCTAAATAGGGATATAGATGGCAAGAACACGCTGATTATCTGGTTGCCAATAGTACATTTTGAAACACAGCAAGAGCAAAGTATGTACCTGTCATCACGCTCGCCCCATCAGAGCCAAAGCAAAGGACCTTCTCGATGGGAATGCCAAAGAGGTTCAGGCACTCCAAGACCCGCGCGCAAAGGGAGGCTGCATCGGTCTCGTTCACTTGCAGCAAACCCAAGAACACGGTGGAGACCTGCAAACCAAAAGCAATCGCTTTGCTATGTCCATTGTTGACCAACTTGGCATTGATTAGTCTAGCAAGAGGTGCAAGCTATGCTGGACAGGATGCTCAAGTTGTCATCTTTGCAGGACATGCAACTTAGCAGATCTATTCATTGAAGCTACTTTTCAAGGACCCGAGCTCAGAATCAGCCAGCTTCCAAGCTTGCCCAGAACCAAAATAATAAATGCATGGAAGCATACAACCAGTTTTCGATTGTAAGCAAAAGACAGCAGAGCCTTTAAGCAACTGGCACAACGTGTGTCTCAAGATTTCAAGATGCCGCAACCCTTACCTTTTTCTCGGCTGTGATGTATTTGCAGTACACGATCATATGCTGATGAACACTGATGTCCGTCGACTCGTCGATGCCGATGGACACCACAGGACTCTGCTTGAGTGCCTCCTTCTGCGCCTGCATGATTGCCTCTGCGATTGCGTCTATGAACTGATAGGCTGCCTTATTGTTATGATACAACTCGGAGGGGACCTGAGCACCTGTGTCTTTCAACAGATCTAGGAGCGTACCATACTGAGCGAGAGCCACGTCCTTCTTCGCCAACCAGTAGGCAGCCTGGAAGAGGTTGATCGCTGTTTGGTTCTCTAAAGAGATGGCCTGATCAATGGCCTTCTCCATTACAGCTGCTCCGCCTTGGTCCTCAACACATTGGCGGTGCTCCCTAGACGTGGCATGGTCAGAGAGGGCATTTGACTTGAAGTTGATGGAGCCTGTGGTCGCAAAAGGGCTGTCAAACTTGCGCTCAGACTTCCTGCATAGCTTGCAGAAGAGCTTCGCGCGCTTGGTGT